ACATTCTGAGGGTATCTCTAAAATGGGCATGGCTTTGAAAAAACAAAAGAAAAAGGATTTTAAATGTAATATCTTTTCACATAAACATTTTATCTGGACAAATCAATTTTTGATAAAAATCCAAGCTCATTCCAATACCAGCTATGGTAATTTGGAACAATGACAAAAGACAAACATCCTTGAAGACACAGGTTTTAAAAGTAGGCTTTTCCTTAGGTTTTAACTGTCAAGCTTTTATCCTTCATATGGTAATTCAGAATCATCAGCCTGGAAAAAAGCAGCAGAAGTAGCTAAGTTGCAGCTCAGAAAGTAGATTTCTATTTGTGATTCTGATTTGTTTCTTGAATAATGGTAATAGTACATGCAAAAGATTAATATGCAAAAAGTAAAATCTAAGACTGCTATTTCTGATAATAAAGCCAAGTGTTTTTCATAAAACATTTATATCTCAGGATACAGAATTCTAATTTTACTCTTCAACTCAAGAGTTCTAGGACTGTGAATGAAACCAATTGCTGCTTGACTTTCATTTTCATCCAGCAACAATAACATCTGATGTCACCACATTGAAATGTCTTCTTGCTTAATATCAGGGAGAAAAAAGTACACATTGCCAGTTTAGACCCAGCTCAGTTTATCACTTGGTCCAAATTTTATATCCAAACTTCCAAAAATTTTCTTCTTAAAAAAGAAAACATTCAAACACATACACACACACACACACACACACACACACACACACACACACACACACACATGGGAAAAATTGAAATGAAGCTGATGCTACTGTTGCATTTTTTTTTTGCAAGATTATCAAGGAAATGTATAAACACAATACTTTTTCATTCATATTAACAACCGAAAATGAAAAACAAAACAAACCAAAAACCCTAAGTGTCCATACATTGGGAAAAAAAGAAGCAACTGAAGGTCCAGAATTCTTGTAAAAACTGCTGAACAACTCTTCCATTTCTCTTAGGAGGGTCTCCAGGATAGGCAGTTTTTCAACATTTGTGCTTCATGGCAAGTTTGTGTGCAGTTTCTGCAAACTGCTGGGCCCTGTTCTTCATGTCTTCTGTCTTCTCCTCCACTCAGCCTAAACACTCTCCAGCCTCATTCAAGGTCTGGCTTGCCTTCTGTACAGCGCTGCTCACACTATCAGCAGCTGAATGGAGGATGCTGTTTCCTCCCATAATTTTGGATTGGCAGTTAATAAACTCTGGCTTCCTGTCTGTGAGGTACCTCTGGCAAGTGTGGTGGAGGATCTGGAAGAAGGTGCACTTCTCTGAGGCTGTGCTGGCTACCCACTGGTCAAAAGCATTTTCAAACAAATCGAATTCTGCAGAATCCCGATTAGGATCAATACCATTAACTTGGCAAAGCTGCTCAAGCATCCACTGTGATCACCAAACAAATGATGTGGAACCTTCAAACTGCTTGGCCTTTGTGACAGATGCTTGTGTGGGTTTCTTGTTTGTCACCGACAGACAGATATAAGTTAAATATTTGCCTTGACCCCCAGTTGCCAAGAAAGAAATCTTTTTCTTTGTCCTCCTCTTGACTTGGTCAGCTCCCAGCATCCTTTCATTAAGAGGTGCAAAAATTTCCTTGCTGATGGCAGATTTGGCACTCATGGTAGAACCACCAAGAAGGACACACACTGAATTTTCATGCGGCCAGACAAGTGGCCTGGTGGTGCCAGTATGTGGCATCCATCCCCACCCGCGAGGCTCCTCCCCGGGGGGCTGCTCCACGCGGGGCTCTGGGCTCCGGACAGGGCTCGGCTGCCCTGGTGCGGGCTTGCTGCTGCTCGCTGCTCCCACGCGGGCTCCTGCTCCCTCTGATCTTTATTATATCCTCTCCTGTATGAGCTAAGTGTTTGTCCTGCTCTTCTTTTTCTAGAAGCTTGAGGTTCAACATCAGGTTGTTTAATTGGGCTCGCTCTGTTTTCCTAATATGAGTATTCACTGCTATGAATTTCCCTCTAAGACTGCTTTCATTGTGTCCCGTAGATTCTGATATGTTGTATTGTGATTGTCATTTAATTGAAGGAACTCTTTGATTTCTTCTTTACTTTTCTCTGTGACCCATTGGTTATTCAGAAGTGCATTGTGCAGTTTCCATGTGTTTATGAAATTCTTGCAGTTTCTTTTGCTATTGATCTCCAATTTCATCGCACTATAGTCTAATAATATACAGGGGATACCTTCAATTCCTTTGCACTTACTGAAACATGTTCTATGAGCAAGTATGTGGTCTATTTTGGACAATGATCTGTGTGCAGCTGAAAAGAATGTCTATTCTGATTTTGTGGGGTGGAACACTCTGTAAACATCTGTTAAGTTCATTTGTTCAAGAGTTTGAGTTCTAGTATTTCACTGCTTATTTTTTGTCTAGTTGATCTATTTGTGACAATGGGATATTGAGGTCTCCCACTACTATTGTATTAGTGTACATATGACTTTTCATGTGCATTAGTATTTGTTTTATGTAGTTGGGCACACTAGTGTTTGGTGCATAGATATTTATGATTGTCATCTCTTCCTCTTGGATTGTTCACTTTAAAAGGATGTAGTATCCTTCTTTGTCTCTCTTAATCAGTGTTGGTTTGAAATCTACTTGATCTGCAAAGAGGATAGCTACTCCTGCTTTTTTTCAGGTTCCTGTCACATGGAGTATTGTTTTCCACCCTTTAACTTTCAGTCTATAAATTTCTTTTTGAATTAAGTGTGTTTCTTGTATGCAGCATATTGTTGGAACTCGCTTCTTGACCCATTCTGCCAGTCTATTTCTTTTGATTGGTGAATTAAGACCATTAACATTGATGGTTATAACTGATACATATTGACTTATCATTTTCATGACTTTTTCTTTTTGTTGGATTCTCCCCCTTTACATTGAATTTCTTGTCATGCCCAATGGATTCATTTTGCTGTGCTTCCTGGGGTTGTGATCCTCATTGTCTTTTCCTAGGATATTGTCTAAAAATTTTTGGAGTGCTTGTTTGGTATCATGAAGTTCTAAGGTGCTCTTTTTCATGAAAGTATCTTATTTCTCCAGCAATTTTGAAAGATAGTTTTGCAGGGTACATCAATCTGGGTTGGAGGTTGTTCTCCTTTAAGGCTTGGATATGTCACTCTGAGCTCTTCTTGCCTTGAGGGTTTGCATTGAGAAGTCTGCTGTGATTCTGATGGGCTTTCCTTTGTATATGATTTGTTTCTTTTCTCTAACTGCTTGTAGAACTTTGTTCTTCTGTTGTGTTTCTGGAATCTTAACAATTATATGCCTATGTGTAGATTTTTTTTGATCAAGGCTATTTGGAGTCCTATATGCCTCGCTTATCTGTATGTCAACTTCTTTTCCCCTACTTGGGAAGTTTTCTATCATCACTTCTGTGAACAGTTTTATGTCATCTGCACTCTCTCCTCTTTCTTCATTGAGCCCAATCAGTCTTATGTTATTCTTCTTTGCATTGTCTAGCAGCTGCTGGATTGATTTCTCATCTTCCCTTATAATTTTGAAGCAATTTTTCTTTTCCTGGTCACTAATTGCAATCTTATCTTCTATATCTGAAATTCTGTCCTCACATTGGCTCATTCTGCTGTGTAGACTTTCAATGGAGTTTTTAATCTCCTGGAAATCTGCATCTGTTTTATGGATTCCATTTGTTTCCTATGTTGGAATTCCATCATGTTCCTGAGCTCCTCTCTAAATTTATTAATCATGTCTTGCACTATCACAATCTCTGCTGTTATGTGAGAAATTATTTCTGATTTCATTTTTTCCAGATCCTCTTTTGTTGCCAGTTCTGGGAGTCCAGGTGGTTGAGTATCAGAGTGTTCCATGTTGTTTCCCTTTGGGGTTGCTGTAGGTGACCTGGAAGTCTGGTTTTGAGACTCATTTATGTGTCTTCTCATTTCAACGGGGTGGAGGGTGCTTCTGGCACCTACACAGCTCACCTCCTCTGTGTTGGGAGTCGTGAGTGGTGGTACACTGGCCCAGAATCCTCCTCCTCTGCCCTGGGAGCAGTGCTACAGTGGCCCAGAAGCCTCCTCCTCTGCCAGAGCAACTTTGTTTATAACTGCTAACATATGTAAAAGTCCAATTTCCATCAACAGGTGAATGTAGAACCAGTTATGATGTACTCTAAAACAGCATAATACTTAGCAACAAAAATGAATGAACTATGAATAATCCCAACACCATGAAAAAATGCTGAGTGAAAGTAGCCAGATATAAAAGAATAAGTACCATATAACTTCCTTTATATGAATCCTTGATCAGATTATTCTTACTAGCAGGCAAATAGCAAAGGAATAGCAAGGGAAAGAAGATCACAGGTTGCTTGAACCATGTAGGCTATTGACATGGAAGAGTGTGATGGGAACATTCTTTGCCTGGATTACAGTAATGGCTACACAAGTGTATATATTTGTCACAAGTAATTTAATTATATATGCAAAATGGAAACATTTAATTGAATGTGGAACACAATAAGTTAATATAAAGAAAAGTACAAATTAATGAGAAAATGAAGACCACATGTAGGGTAAAGTTAATGGAAATTTACTTAAGGTAAAAGTTAGTGACGATATCCTACAAGGTACACTGGAAGTTACTGAAAGGGAGGAAACATGTAATTATCCCTCCTTTCAGCAACATTTTTGAGAATAACAAATGTCACAAATATAAAATGAGCAGACAGTGTAGTTCACTGATAGAGTGTGCAAGAAGCCTTGAGTTCATTTCCCAGCACAAAAGAAGAAATAAAGAAAAAAGAAGAAAAAAAGAAAGAATCTGATTTATTTTAAAATTTTTCTAAGGATTCCCTTTTGCTTACTTACTAAGTATGCATCTATCCTGTTATTTTTCTGTATATGTGTCTATGTATATAACTCTAAATACCTATATTTCTGTACCTCTGGGGAGGTCCATTAATATATAATACATGATAATGTTAGAATTCTGAAAATGTTTTTATTCATATTTTTTGTTCATAGAAACATTCACTTGATCCACTGTTGACCAGGACTCTGAAAATACAAATCATTATGGACAAAGGCTTGGTATGTGTTATTTATATATTTCAATATATTCTTCAGTTTATGTTTAAATTCAAGTATATTTGTAGGAAAATCAGTTCTATTTTACTCCATTCAAATTTTGTATCTCCCCTATTACCTCTACAATGACTTAGGGAAAGTAATACTTACGTATTTATTGATCACCAAATCAGTGTAGAAGTACATCAATAATGTAAAGAAAGGTCCTTGTTGCTTTTGCTACCATGTGGGTGCTATGAACTATTTCTCCTCTGCAATGCCCACCCCTCCTGCCTATCTTGTTGCTTTTGCTGCCTTCCTCTGCCATGAACTGTTGCCCCTCTGCCACCCTGCCTTGGTACCATTCAAGTATGGACTGAAAACTCTATGAACTATATCCCCTGTCTAGATTCAAAGACAGAACTCACTAAAGAATACCAAGTACAGCTATCCCACCCTTCCTAGGCCAGAGGAAGTGAGCCAATCACAGTGCCCACGAGGATGCTCCCCACCACCATTCCACCACTCCTAGGGCAGAGAAGGTGAGCCAATCCCAGCACCCAGGAGGAGGCTCCCTGCTGATATTCCACTGGTTCAAGGGCAGAGGAGGTGAGATGCGTGGGCACCAGCAGCCCCTCTCCCCCTTGGAAATGAGAAGACATATAAACAAGCCTAAAAAACAGACTTCCAGATCACCTACAACAACCCCAAAGGGAAACGAGATGGAACCATCAGATATTGAACCAACTGGACTCCCTGAACTGGCAACAAAAGAGGATCTAGAACAAATGAAATCAGAAATAATTTCTCAGATAATAGCAAAGATTCTGCCCACAGTGCAACACATGATTAATAAATCTAGAGAGGACATGGATAAAAAAAAATAGAGGCTCTGAGGAACAAGATGGAATCCCAACATAGGAAACAAATGGAATCCATAAAACAGATCAAAACAGATTTCCAGGAGATTAAAAATTTGATTGAAAGTCTACACAGCAGAATGAACCAATGTGAGGACAGAATTTCAAATATAGAAGATAAGATTGCAATTAGTGAGGAGGAAA